GATCTTTGAAAGCAAACTCTAGAAACAAATCAATGCTTGGGTCAAGACCTTAAGTAAATGGCCCTTTTAGTTACCTCATCACTCTTCTAGATCATAAGAAGCTTTACACTGAAAACTCAATCATTAACATCGGTTAAACATGACAGGTGGCAAAGGGATGTTACCCAGAAAACCCTTATCTTATTAAATTAAGTTGGTAGATGTTCAAATGATACCATTTCTAACTATAACTTAAAAGTGCTTACTTAAAAACGATCATATTTCCAAGATTAAAATCTTTGCTGTCCATCTTGTTCTGACCTTCAAGGCCAAATAAAATACCTGGAAATATATTTTGTAATCAGTGGTCTAATATTATGAAATTTAAAACCAAACAATAGCACAATTTGAATCCTGTCAGCTACATAAATACATGATACTGTACACAATTATTCTTCCATAACAGTAGTAAAAGCCCAATGATCAAGGACAGCTGGGCCCAGTTTCGAACCATAAATATGTTTAGACTTTTTGCCGACATTTACCGATGGCTCCCAGCTTTGCTGAACATGGTACAGTACAGTAATATCATTTACAATGCATTAAATATTTTCTTTGGCTTTTGGACCAATGAATGTTGGATTAGCGGGATTTTACTATACAACCCAGTGACACCAAGTTTTAGTGTAATGACCAAATATTTAAACCTGCTCTGTGAGAATTACTGGTACCTTATGGTAATGCATATGTGACACTTAATAATCTGTAGAAAACATGTAAAATAAGATACTTACTGCAAACAGAGGATACAGATGCCTTCAGCAAAGAGTCAAACACATCAAACACCTTCCCATCATCATGACTAGCTAAATCCTCCACCAGCTGTTGACTGGAGCGATTAAACACTCTTGTTAGGTAATTGAGGTTTTGACGATGGAATATAGGGTTCATATTGCGTCTGCTTATCTTCCACTTAGCACCTGTTTCAAAGAATTCTGTTTTAAAACTATAGTGTAGGCTACTTGTTAGTTGTTGACCAGAGGAAAATAACTGTACAAGTAAGGTATGTTTCATTAGCTAATTAATATTTCGAAAACTTCAATATTTTCAATTCGTATTTTGGTATTGCATTAATTTAGAATGTTAATCAATCCAGACTTAAAAGTAAATTGAAAGCAGCTTGTTCTTGTATACCTGGAGCAGTTATAAGACCATCACCAAAAGCAAATTGGGAAAATCTGTACTCTCGCCCCTTGTCTAGTGCCTTAGAACTGGTCAGTATTATCTGGAAACATTACATCATTACAAAAATATTATGTACTAATGTAGTAGATTTACTTGTACTATTTTGATAAGCACCCGATATAAATTGACGTAATTGTTGTGATCTGGTTACAAAAATATAATTTTGAGTGTGAGGTGTGAGGGTAACAGCTACAGATGTGCACATTTTTTTTAGAAAATAAACTACTCTTATATTTATAAATCTTAATTTTTAATCTATACATATTATTTGTAGGTTATTTACCTGAGCATCTTGTGGTTTCTGTACAAATATTACTGGTATGGGGCCAGCCCACATACAGAACAGGCTGTAGGGTTGCTTAGCTGCTGTTTTCATGGATATTGTTATGGCGTTTGTAAAATCTGCAAAAACACAATTAAAGTTAGTTAATAATATTTTTTCAGGAATTATGTAAAACAAGCTGGCTATTATTATTGAGTGTATATCCAATCACCTCAGTGAAATTCACATGATAGTACCACAAAATAACAAGTATACAAGTCTACAGTATTGTGCAGAGTGCATGATTGTATTCGATAGTTCAAATAACATCAAATTAACTATCCTTACAAGGAAATAGTATATTTCATCACTAGGGCGTAAAGTGATTCTTTTAAACCTGAGCTTGTTTCGCCGTGGTAGGAAAATGAGGGATAGTTGAAAAGACACCTTTTGCCTTGTGATGAACTATATTTTTCATCATATTGCCCCATTATTTGAGCAAACTAGTAAGAAAATAAAATACTTTTCATGTAAAAATAACCTCTCATAACGACTTACAACTTGTTTTCAATTTTGCTGATGCAATCCAGCAGCTGTTTAGTAAGTTTTTCAATAGTTTTCTCTTTTACGATTGCAACAATAAGCTACAAGCGATTAAAATAACCTATTCATACTTTTGATACAAGCGATTGTTTATAATCATAGTTTACAGCTGACTTATTATACTTTTTATTCCCTATGGACAAAAATATACTTTATAGGTCGGCCGTTTAGAAAACGACCTGCGCGAAATTTTTAGCGCATGTAGGGGAGGTAACGGAGAGGGAGGGTACGTTTCCCCTCTCCGCCAATGGCCTTTTTCACAAGGTGTGTGGATAGTGACGTCACGTGCAAGCTGAACGTGTTTTATTTCACCAAATCATATGTTTTCTTTGTAATTTCCCAAAGACTTTAGAATGACAATCATTTCGAGTTAGCATTGAATATACAACACTATTAAGCGTTTTATATCCAATGTAGTGTTGTATTCAATATTGAATATAGTCATAGTGTTATACAGTACAGGGTGCGGCAAAAAACCGAACCATTTTCTGCAGAGCACTGAAGTTCCGTTGCGTATAACAATAATGCGGTGGGTTACTAACTTTAGAACAACGGCTTCTGCGTTGAAAAGGAAGCTGAAAGGCCGACCAAAGTCAGACCGGATGCCAGACAACGAACATTCGACAGAGTTCGTACTGCTGTGGAAAACAGTCCTCGCAGGCCCAACCGAAAACAGATTTAAACGGATTTAAGGCTTGCCGAAAATGTCTGACTGCTCAGTTACACGAATTTTGAGGTTAATTTTCATCCCTACAGATTAGTTAGAATAATTATCTGTTTAATGGTGTTATCCACACAGATAATCACGACGGAACCTCTCCATGCCGAATTAATAAATAAAAGCAAGGAACTGCCACTGAGTTGCAACATAGACTAAGCAAAACAAGTAGACTCCTCATCCCATTTGTAAATATTGTAGCTTTGTTTTTCGTGTCTAGTTCATGTACGTCCACACCGATCGCTGGGGTGGACAACATTTTGTTTCTATTATTTTAGGGTTATTTTCTTGATTTGTGCTTTACTATATGGTTATATAACTAGAAGACCAGTTATTGTTTATGATTAAATCGTTTTATTTGGTTAAATGAGGTTTTAAATTACTGAAATAACAAGAAACAAAATGTAAACAAAACATAACCTCTACAGTTGGACTTACAGAACTAACAATAAAATACCCCCGCCGCGGCAAGCCTGCAGACTTAGCGAATTTCCATTTGCCCGATTGGACTTACACTAAAATGTCTCCTTAACAATATCACATTTATTCCCTATTTAAATAGAATTAGTTTAACGAGTACGTTTGCTGAAACAAGGAAGGGTAAAAAATTGTGTTTTTTATGTAAAATGTTAAAAGGTACTGTAGTTTAGTAAGAAATTAATGTTTTTTCCAAATTTGATCAAAATTAGTTCATAAACAAGTAAACTACAACAGTTGACTTATTCTCAATAAGAATAACATAAGAATTTTAAAATTACAACTTTTTTGAATTTTTCTCGTAACCGTTAGGCGCATAATAAAACTTCAATATACTAAATTATTTGTTTTTTAAGCTCTACAGAATGGTTTAGAAAGAAATTGTGAAATTTTGCGTTTTTAGGGTCAAAAATGGGAAAACCCTATTTTTACCCCATAAAACAGCCCATAAACGGACAATCATCACGAATCTCGCCGCGATTAAGATATAGCCGCAATCACAAAGAGTCATGGAAGCTGAGATAATCGCAGGAGATTATCGCAGATGTTGCCACGATTGTGTAAGACGCAAATAACGCGACTGCAATTAGCCTATAATGGTGTTGCCACCATCGCAAGTAACGATCACACATCTTAGTGACGGCCTTTTAGTGAATTTCCTACATGGGGTATAAGCTATCACCGTAGTACCATTGACTAGTACTCATGGTAATACCTCTGGACCCGGGATGGCAAGGCATATAAAAGAAGGTGTGTGCACGCACATCCCCCACTCCTCCAATCAGCCAATCAAGTATTTACTGCTTTACTGTTTTTCGGTTAAATAGTAGTGTTATATTGTATAACACTACTACAGTATATTCATTCAATGTTGAATACAACGCTATTTTGGATATATAAAACTAAATAATAGTGTTATATATTCAATGCTGATTCCTAATGATTGTCATTCAAAAGTCTTTGGAAAATTATAAGAAAACATATGATTTGGTAAAATAAAATGTAAAATAAAATAAAGGGTGGGGGTGGAGTGGGGGAAGAGCCATATTCTGTCTCACTCCCACAGCTCGGTATCTCTCTCTCGCACCAATGCTACGAGGAGGACGCTTTCTAAGCGACTGACCTATAGACCCACAATGCATGTATAAAAAAAAATGCTTTGCTACAGTATGACAAAAAATATTTTATAATGTTGATAAAACAGCCTCCATTAAACTGTGTCTATGGATTACTTTCAATAATCCTAATAATTATTAGAATTAACAGGTAAATCAATTTTTTTAATGGAGGCAAGGTATTCCCATGACAGTTGTTTTAACACCACTTGGTAAAATGTTTCAATTTAGTGCTGCACTTAAGGCTTTCCGCTTGGAGTTAGTAATTTTTCTTGTTTTGTTTTTGGTATTTTTGTGTACTAACCAACTTATAACTCAAGGATCAATTTGACTACAATCTCTTTCAAATTATACCTACTGACTATCATGTGTTTTCTTTGTAAAATAAAACTATAGTAGCAGACTAAAATTAGATAATCCTCATTACCTTCACCAGTATATGTTGGTACCCATATTTTTGAATGTGGGTTGTACCAAGTGCCCAAAATCATGTTACACGGAATGGGTATTGGTAGTTTAGAAGCAACATTGAGAATCTTTCTGTTTCTCCTTTGGTATAACTTCCATTGAATTGTAATAAATATCATCAAAGACAAAGGAACCAGTACAATCCACTGGGCCTAGAACAGAGCATGTGTTGGAATTATACCCTGTTTGTTCAGGGATTGAGGCTGGTCAAAGGGTCGGCCATATGTACACACATGCAGGCTTCACCCACACAAAGGTAAGAGATAGGACGGTCCATTGAGAGTTTGTGTCCGTTAGTCGCATCTCTCGCAAATAATGAAGACCAAGCTCCAGCCACAATCTCAGAGTAAGCAAGGTATAAGTAAAAAATTCAGGTGTCAAGCTTTAAGAAGAGAAAGTCAAACGTCTGCTCCATTACCCACATGAAGCCTCAGTCAGATTTGATGACAGGGACCTTCCTAAGCTCAAGATACCAAATAGCTGTAGTGCCGAAAGTATCCAAAAACTGCTGCGGAGAAGTGTTCTCTGTTCATACTCACATAGTAAAATAATGTCAGTGCCTTGCTCATTAGCAAACTAATTCAACAACATTTTGGCTTGGGCTGTCTTTCTTTTCTGCATTTTGACCTAAAGGACATTTATAATTTTCTTGTCAATGATCGGATCTTCTCTAGGGCATACTTGTAGGCAACTACAGCGACATAATCACATTGTCTTCCAAACCAGATTTTGTGCGCAGGACGGATGAGGATTCCACTTCAATGCGTTTGCTGACCCTGTGGTCCTGCCCGCCATAAATACTTAAGTTTTCAAATTTCCTGAATAAAAAACAAATCCAAAAATAAAACACCAAATTGGCTAAAGAACAATGTCCATGAAAACTGGCAACATACATAGCAATATAGCACAGGGTAAGTAAACATTAATTAGATTCAGTTGATTTAAGGAACTGCATTGAGTAGCTAAAGAAAATTTAAAAGCCTGGAAAACACAGTAAGAAATATTTACGATTGATAAATCAACCTAATTAATGACCACACCGCCAAACAACATCTGTGCTGGGATATTATCAAGAATGACAATTAAAGTAAGAACTCGTTAAATGAAATATTTTAATTAATTTTTACGTGTTATATTTTTATGTTAGTGACTCATTGAGATTCACTTTGTATTTAGATTTACAAGAACGGCTTATAGCAGGCCATAAGTTAATTTTACCATGCTAGATATGTTTTATTTCTTAAGGGAGTGCTCTACCTGTTCGCTGCGCGCTAATGCAAGGGTTTAGGATCACCGTAATTGTCGGCTTAGCTCTTAACCGATTGAAAATATATTTATGTTATTAATTTATTTTCAGTACCCAATGCTAATTCACTCGATGTAATTCACTAATTTCTTATTTTTGTAGGCTTGTATCATTAAAATTTTTGGTAATAGTAGAATTATTTTAAGTGGGAAGTGACTGGTAAATACCTCAAAATAAGCTTTTCCTAAAGCCTTTTACACGTACAAATGAATTTTTAGACGAAAATTAAAATGATTCAGTCATAAATTTGAATCTAAGGAGTAAGAAACCTTATTCAGATGAAAAGATTAAAAAAAATTAACTGAGTAATTTGAGAGGATTAAAACCAAGCGCATCTTGCAGCGCTGTTCAATTGCGCAACATAGCTAGTGAAGCCCGAGCTGAGGTAGAGCACACCCTTAAACTCAGCTCTTCTAAATCCTTGCAGGCCTGCTACCTTCTCCAAAAGCATCTAGAACCTTCTATTTGTATCATTAAAATATTGTTCTCGTGGTTTGAAAATTGAAATAATTAAATACCCTATATATACACCTGAAACAAGAGTCAAAATGTGAGTTTTTTCTGTCTCACAAATAGGGGTTCTCCCTGGAATAATGGGGTTCCCAGGATTTAAGACTTTGAATTAGAGGGACATAAAACATTTAAATTTGCAAAATATGTTATTAATTGTGAAACATATATTAATACTCACCAAAGTTATGTCTTTTACAATTTTCAAATCCATCTCCCAAAACCTACAACAAAGAAATTATATTTCTCGAACAAATAATTATTGCTAAATGACTCAAGAGGTACTTTTTAATAAAAAAAACAAAGGGATTTTTGAAGGAGTTTTACTAGTTGACCATTTGAAACCAATAACATTAAGTGGGTTTAATTGGTTTAACCTTTTACATCGGGACGAAATATCAACGTTATGTTTTGCGGTTTATTGTGTTTCTATTTGCCCTTGGATTCTAATATCTCAAGTAAGCTAGATGATCTCTATTCCTTAAAAACATCCTTACTAACCAACATTAGCTTTCTTTTATGATACTTTACTTGGACATTTTGTCCCTTGATATTTTTGGGAAACTACTCATTTAGTAGTAGCGCTATGAAACTACACTGGCACAATCTTTGGACAGCTTTGTTTGGAAAACAAAACATTAAAACATGTTTTACATACTGGTTCAGTATAGTTAAACAATACTAGTGCAAACTGGGGCATAATCGGGAATTGGACTCATCTATTCTATTTCTCTATTCTATGGACCCGTTATGAATGTCCTTGATTATCAGCTTAATAAATTCCATTCATTTAACATTCATAATCGCCTTAAAATATGCAAAATGGTGTGTCGAGCTTTGTTGTAATCTAATCTAGTAATAGTATTACTACTTACCTTAAATATTGTAAAATCCAATAAATGTTTAATTTCTGTGTTAAAAAAACATTTCACTACATCACATTGTAGTTTTTGTTACTATGATCACAATTTGTTTATTTCACACTGCCACATCCCATTTCAGTGCTGTATCGGGGAGGTAGTTCCAGAACCTTATCACACACATAATATACTGAAGATATTTATCATTTATGTAAACATGGCAAGTGTGCTTGCAGTTATTGAACTTTGAGTACAATAATTCAAAATGTAACTACACTACTGGTACATATCAAAATAATTATAGACAGTAATGTATACATTATTCTTATAATTATTTGACAAATATATTGAATAATATCTATCTAATATTGTTGGAAGACACTTATTTTACTTGTATACTTTTGTTATAATTTGTTTCAGTGATCGATTTAAAAAAAAATGAGGTGCCGGAACTGTAACCTATTTAATGTTATTACTACCTATTTATGTACTGTTTATGCCAATATTTTTATTTTTCCGGAGAAAAAAGAGATGTACCGGAATGCCGTTCCACCAAGCTCTGCCGTAAATCGAGCACTGGTTCAGTTATTCACTGAGCAAAATGTTCTCAGTAAACGTAACGAGATATATTGCTTTGTTGGTGTTTTATTGTTTTTATGGTGTTTTATGGTTCTGTAGACTGTAATTGTGACCCTTAGCTAGCAGTTGAGTATTTTGCCGAGTCAATCACTTCACCTGTGGGCTTGTGGGGCTTTGCCTGCTGGAGTTTGAACTTCTACACCAATGGCTTCTGTAAAGTGTCCAACACAGAAGAACTCATCCTGCTGAGGGAGCCCATCTCTCCTGAGTCTTATGCATTTTATTTTAATTAACACTAGTAAAGTGGTGCTTGCAATCATGGTTATTGAACTATAAAAAAAATCAGTTAGTTGACTATAACTAAACCACCATGTCTGCCTAGCCTACATCTTTCTCACTAATTCTTACAATCTCAAATCAGCAGAGAGTTTTCCACAAAAAATTGAGTAGAGATAAGAAAAAAAACTGTATGCGCTTTCTTAATTTTGTTTACAATTGCTCCATGGTACATGATGGTCATGCACCATGGATCACAACCTCATGTCATGTACCTAGGGTCAATAGCTTATGTTGGCTACCTTGGCTATAAAGGTAATGTTAACTGAGTAGAACAATTTTTCCAAAAAGTGAAACACTTTTTTCCTCTAAGAACATTTTAAAACTCTTTGCACAATGAAACTTATAACGTTTTGTTCACAACTGACCAAACAAAATTAGTGTGCAAGACTGGTCTTCAAAAGTTATTTATTGTCGGGACCACGTAAGTTTGCAGTTGAGGGAGGAGCCTATTTACCATATGGGTTTGAATGAACCAATGAGAACCGTGCGGTGTTGCCAAATCTGTTACTACCAGCTGATTTTAATATATTGCTTAGTATATTTTAATTAGTGTTGTCAACGGGCGATGTGGCAACGTCGCACTAGCCTTGTCTTGTGATAGGCTGCCACCAACTGCAAACTTACGTGGTCCCGACAGAAATATTTTACTTAAAAAAATATACTAGAAAACTAAATGGTGCCATTTCTTGAGTAATCTACTGTACAAATTTTAGGTTAAATCCAAACAAGATGTAGATTGGTACCAGAACTTACAATATAGGTTAGACACAGACATAGCATGCCTTCATCCATTAACTACAACCCCTTTATTTCTTAATCGGTAGCAGATTCAGCACGCTAAAACTAAACCTTCATCAATTCATTCATCCCCTAATTAATTCTCATCAACTAGCTACAAATGTGGGTATACTGAACAATAGCTGGTCTATTTCAAGACGTATGAAACATTACTCTTGAGTCGATCACTATAAGGTGTGAAAAACTGTTTACTTACTGCCCAACTGAAGGTGATGAAATACTCTCTACAGGCTGGAACTGATTTCATACACTAAAGCAGTTTCTAGTGCAGCCACTGTGCACCACTTACTTATATGTGGCAGCATAAGTCAGAACTATTAACAGTGATCCGAGTACACTGTCATCAAGGTAGAATATTCTCCTCTACTATACTGTCAGTACTTGTTGGATTAGGTAGTATAGATGCTCTAAATCACACACTCCTTATAGGGTACATTACTAATTAGAGCTTAAAGCATTTCATTTTTGGAAACATCAAAATAAAATGTGAACTGTACCAAAATAACCATACGGTACTAACAGAGAGTCAAATTATACTGTGAATTACACTTAGCTTGGAAAGCAAATCTCAACTGAACTGAGATAGATTTGTTTTGTTTGCTTACTTATTTATTCAACAAGAAACTAAAAAAAGTTGGTACTTGTTGGGGGAATTCAATTTCCCAGCAAATTACATCTTTTGGAAGCGGAATCGCCAACTCAATGGAGTTTACTGCATTAATATACACAGTTTTTTAGGTTGGGATGTGTGGGTTTCAGG